CATGAATTTAATTTCGATAAATGATGTTTTAAGATATTACATAAAATGTAAGCCAAAACATATTTATATATAATATGTATATATGTAAATATATGTAATGGTATTTTTTTCTAACTTTAAACCAATAAAATTTTTACAGTTATTACCTAATTATTTTTATTATAATACATTTTTAAAACTCATATGATATCGTTTTTAATTTTTTTTATTAAAACTTAAACTGATTGAGATGTCTATAAATTTATATGATTTTATTAATAACTTTTCTTGCATTGTCATAATTTTGAAGTTAAGTCCTTAATGAGATTATCTGAAGCAAAAAACTATAAGTAAGAAAGCGCGTGTTCGGAGCAAATAATGGTGTGATTCTACTTCGAAACTGAAATGAAAAAATAATAAATTAAAATAAAATAAGGTTTCTAAAAATAAATTTATAAAGCATTTATAGCAATAGAATTTTATATTGATTTTTAAAATTTTTATTTTATTAATACCATATGCACTTTTTATTGCTAAAAAGTTATAATCACATATAATAATTTTTATTTAAATTTATTTTATATATTTATAATAATAATAATTATACATAAATACATGTTTATATGTAAAGTAAGGTAGTATATAGGATGTAACGCAGGTCGAAACTAATAAGTGTAGCTAATATATAAATATATAACATGTGGGTTAGCTCAGGTTATTAATGCGGGTTATAATGGGGCTATTAACTGGAGCAAACGTTACTCTAACTTTTAAGTGAAAAAATAAAAATATAAATAATTTATTTCAAACATTTATAAAGTTGCATTTGTTGTTAAAAAGAGGGGATGTACTCAATCATTAAAATTAAATTAATCATTTTAAGTTTTTATGTTTATTGTTGAAGTTTACAGCTGTGTCAACGTTTTTGTTATATTAAATAATTTTTATTGTGTGAATGAAGTCGTAAAACTTTGCTGCCTTTACGAACTTTTAATATTATTAATTTTTTTGTTTTAATACACTTTTTTTTACCAATTTTTTTAACGTAATTAGAACATTTGATACTGCGAAAACCACTATCTATTGTAGCAACTATGAAAATAATTTATATGAGTTTTTATTATAAATTCATTCGTAATTAAGTTATTTTATTTAAAATATTCAAATGTTATATTATTTTTATTAACATTTATTACATATTTAATTATATATATTTTCTAAGTACAAAAAGGTGCAGAATAGATCAAGCTGGTTGCATTGCATAGGGGCCTTAGCCTAACCCAAAACCCCCAATACTATTAACCATTCAACATTTATTACATTTATTAATATTTTATTAATAAAAGCATCTAACGAAAAGGAAGGTCCAAATTTCATATATTTTTAGTTCTTTTATTTTTCAGTTTTCAATAATATAAATATTAAATACGAAATATTCAATACGAATGTTGGTTGGCTTTTTTCAGTACTTAGTACTGAGTCCTTTAACTAGTCTCTTTTAAAAACAATATAAGGTCTAAATAAATTAGGTAGGTAGCTTATACCGGTGATTCCAAGGGATCTACTTAGGCTGTGTGTGTTACCGTATAATTAAAAGCTCAAGAGTTTGAACCATTTAGAACCTTTGGCAAAGCTTGTAATGCTATTCAGGGGAAAATCTTGCAGTTCGCCGCTGACTAAAGTAACTTATTTATTATTGATATGCATTTACTTTTAGGGACTGATTTTAGTGTATTAGACACTGAAATTTACAAGTTCAGCAACACAAATATATTTTAAAATATATATTTTTTATATTAAATTTCATTGTAATGCCAATATGACAGAAGTGACTCATGCAATAAATAATGCATCTACAAAAGAATAGTATTAACATTTAACAATTAAAAATAAAAATATAATTAATTCAATTATTGTACAGCTGGGTTATGATTTCGTTCTGTTATAAACACAGCAAGTGAATTTGTTAATGAAACTTTCACAGCAGATTAAGAAAACTCTAGAAAAATGTGCGAAAATAAAAGTCAAGTACGGCTTTGGGTCAGTTGGTTAAGCAACGTTGACTCTGAGCTTTAAATTTGACAGGGCATGAGCACGATTCCTGGTACTTGCATGCTTAAAATATTATTTATGAATAATTAAATACAATGATTATTTCGACGACCACTGATGACGGGTATTTGGTAATACTTGAAACAGCTGTATGAAATTTTAAATTTGCATTGAAAGCAACAATAATTGACAGCTAAAATTACAAACAAAACTCTCATGTGAATTCAGTATAAGACAATTGGGAGTAGCACAATTGCCCATCTGAGCCGTTGTGTAATAATATATACCTATAGTAATAATTATTAATGAACTCGTATCACTATTAACAGTACTAATTCACAGTATACCAAACTATCATTAAAAAATAGTATATAGTTGTATTTAGTCATATCAATTAGTTACTTATTTAACAAATAATTAATTGAATAATTTATTTAAAATGACATAAAAGGTTTTTTTACATTAAATAAAAATATTAATTTGTAATTTTATAATTAAATTAAGTAGAATATAATTATTTTCTTATTTCATTAGTTTATTGAAAATCATTTCCCGATTAAGATTTTATGTTAGGACTTCGAGTCAGGATTGCATCATTAAGTGAAAATTCAAAAAAAAACCAATATGTGTTTTGGCCAAAGCGAAAATCGGAATAGAACCGAAAGAAATGTATCAGCTTAAAACTATTCTTCTTCTTGTTTAGGTAGGGACTTATTTCTTTGGCTATTAAAAGTTTAATGAATCAAACTTTAAAGTTCGAAAACAGTTCATAAATATAATACATAACAACATATATTTTATTGATTTCATTAATATTAATTAATGTCCTTACCTTTAAGGACAACTAACACCGAATTCATTAAATATATTTACTCGGAACTAAATCGAAGACTGAACATTTCTGAAACAAAAATCGGTACGAATAAAAGGGTTCTATTAAATAAGCGCTATTAAATATTCACTGGCACCAAGGAAAAGTTTTCGTCTTGTTTTGTCTATAATAAAATAAAACTGTATATATAAACATATAATTATTTAGAATTTAATTTGAAATTATTTAAACTAATTAAATTATTAAAGTTAGTTAATTATTTAAGTTCAAATAATCACCTAAAAGTTTTGCAAAATTTCACATCGCTTTAGAAATTTATCTTATAATAAGTAACTAATGATTATATGTATAATAACTTTACTAAAAAAATGTTCAATGTACTAAAAAGAACTACCATAATTGCATACTGGGTGTACTTCTACGATTTCTACTTAATTTATTTTTATATGTACTTATATTTATGATGCTAATAAAACACTTTGTTTTAGATGCTGCATATGATTATGTGAAAGATTGATGTATTTTCCAATGATTTTTGTTAAAGTTTTTTATGACTATTTTTTAATATCTACGCCTTTAAATAAGCATTGATAATTTTGAAGACTGTTCTAATACTATAGTATCGGTGCTCACAGCTCACTGTGCATTAGGGAGACATAAATTGAGACTAGGTCTATCCAAAATAACTTTAGTTGTGGTTGCAGCTCTGTAGAGAAGGAGGAAATTGTGTTTCATCCTATGTATGGATCTTAGGCAGTAGAAGATTTCATATCTTTGGACCAAACATTTTCACTGATCTGATAAATCAGGTCGACTTGAAAGGTTGATTAACTTTTACATAAATGAAGGAGTCATGCCGGTGTTTATTCGTGGGTTCGCAATAGACGATTATTACTGGTTAAGTGAATTTTGGTGTGTAGGGTTCTATGTATAAATGATGGTCTTTAGTCAGTAGAAGATTTAATATCTTTGGACCAAACATTTTCACTGATCTGATAAATCAGGTCGATTTGAAAGGTTGATTAACTTTTACATAAATAAAGGAGTCATGCCGGTGTTCATTCGTGGGTTCGCAATAGACCATTATTACTTCTCAAGTGAATTTTGGTGTGTAGGGTCTTCATAACAACCTAATCAACCTAATAAGTGTGCTGAATATTCTGACTTCTATTGAATGTGAAGACTAATAACTTGTAAAGTTTGTTTCTACATTTTTAGTTTACTACAGAAAAACATAATTTAAAAAATTGGGGTAAATGTAAATCGTGACAGATTTAATGAGTCTAACAATATTCAGCGGAAATCTCATAAAAATCTCCTATGTATTATAAAATCGATGTTCTGAGGAAGTTTGAAAAAACTAGTTACATCATAAATTTTTTTATGATAATGTTTTGAATGTGAAAAATAATAAATAATCAAATACATTAACATACATTTGAAATGAATGAAAATCTTTACGTAAATATATTTGTTGGTAAACTTTTTCGTATTTAAAAATATTGTTTATAATCAAGAATATTAATATATTGAAAATATTAAAGAAAATAAAAGTTTATTTGTTGTTTTTTATAACTTATAATTTATAATATAAAATAAAATCTAATAAGAAGTGTTAATGCTAATATTAATGGGTGAGAAGATACATATGTAATATAAAAAATGCTAGCAAAATTGTTTAAAAATTAATGAATCACGGAAAGAGATGTTCTTTCAAAAGGTGGAAATATGTGTTAAATATTTTAATTAAATAATTTGTTTTTATTAATAATTTGAGTAAGCCAACAAAAAAGGTTAATAAACTTTTAAAACAATTAATTTAGTTCTAACTCAAGTGTAAACTCTAAACTCTATCTTAATGATGTTTTTATCAAACTTAAGCGTTAAATAATTAAAGTATTTGATTTCTTCCAAAACGTGTTTTCCACTATTAACAATAAATTATAAAAATAAGGAAATATGTATTTAACTTAGTAAAATTGTTTAATAATTCAAGAATATTTTTATTATAATTTCAATATAATCGTAGCGTAGCCCAAAACACAAACACATTATGATCAGCAAAGACCTGAAGCACATATCCATCCTATGCTTGTTCACCAGCGTATTACTACTGAGTACTACGTCTATATCAGCCCAACGTACTTCTTTAGATAATGCATTTGGACAACTTTACAGACCATTTCGTTTGCTTGCATTACAGATTATAGGACGTTCGAGTGAAGATCCGCAAAATAGGCAGCGCATACGCAGTTTGGAGGTGAGTCCTATTTGTATTGATTATGCATTTATTTTTAAATTTAATTTTTCTTTATTTTTATTTCAAAAAAGAAAGAACAAAAAATATATAGCAAACGTACACGTTCATTAGATTCGTTTTGTGATACCAATGGGCCAGGACGCCGCAGTGATACAGCACCGACATCGGTGCATCGTTTACGACCTGGCGATATTGATGTTATAGGTGCTATGGGTGATTCCTTGACAGCTGGTAATGGCATTTATGGAACAAATTTACTACAAGTAACAGTAGAAAATCGTGGCATGGTCTGGTCTATTGGTGGTCAGGGAACTTGGCGGGAATATCTTACTTTGCCAAATATCTTAAAAGAGTTTAATCCAAATTTATACGGTTACTCACTTAGAGATGGCTTATCAACAGACCGTAGTTCAAAGTATTTCTATTGTTTTTTGATCATTTGATATATATTTACTAAATTTTTTTCAATTGGTATTTGTAGATTCAATGTTGCCGAACTTGGTGCGATGTCACGTGACATACCTTATGAAGCAAAAATTCTAGTCAAAAGAATGCAAAGGGATCCATTGGTTAATATGACCGATCATTGGAAAATGATTACGCTATTGATAGGCAATAATGATTTTTGTACCGATATGTGTTATTATTCAAATCCACAAGTTGTAATTAAGCAACATGAACGTAATATGTTAAAGGCTTATCGCTACTTGCGTGATACTGTGCCCAGGTTAATACTGAATATTGTACCTCCACCAAATCTGCGTTTACTAACAAAATTATCAGGTGATTACTTTTTAAATATTAGCTAATCTTTTGAATATGTATATAATAAATATTACTTTTTGTCTTCACTTATCAGGTTTGCCACAACATTGTCAAACTACATTAAGATTTGAATGTCCTTGCTTGTTTGGGAAAAGCAAGTCTCATTTAGACTACTACGAAAAAATTATGAAAGACTGGATCGCCAAAGACAAGGAAATTGTGGAACGAGAAGAATTTAACACCGATGTCAGTATGAGAGTTAATTCAATTTAAGTCAGTCTAATTGATTTTAAATATAAATATTTTATTCGCAGACATTCACAATTAACTTTCAGCCGTTCACATTGATTGACGATTTTCCTCGTACCGCGAATAATAATTCAGACATTCGCATGTTTTCTGCTGACTGCTTTCATTTGAGTCAGTTGAGCAACGCGGCATGTAAGTTTTGCTAATTAAATTGCATTTTTGTTGTTGTAAAAAATTTAAATAATTTAAACTTTTTAAATTAATTGTAATTGTAGGTTCGAATGTTTTGTGGAATAATTTATTCGAGACGGACGATCAGAAAAGTCAATTTAATGCTAATATTATGGAGACTTTTAGATGTCCAAGCGAGGAACACCCATATATTGTTACAAGGGTGAACAGAAGAGCGGACTTTAAAGTTTAAAATATTATTAGACTTAGTCATTTATTTATTTTTAATATAAATCTGTGATAATATTTTTAATATACTAACTCATTTGTGTTATAATCAATTTTAATTTTCTATTGTTTTTATAAAAATGTGAAGAATTGTGAGAATAAAAATTTATAATAAATATAATATTATATTAGTTTTGTTATAATCATTTACATTGTATACTCACATGCTTAATAAAGCATGTGAAGTTTTAAATAATTTGTAATAAAATAAATATAAAAAAATAAAAATATATAATATAAATTATATATAAGTAATTATCTATAAATGTTATAATTATTGTTGTTATGTAAAGTACTTTTTAAATATTAATTGCCTGGCAACTCTGGCCTGTCATTATTCTATATTCCTTTTGTAATTATTATTCATTATTCATTTTTAGTATAGTTAATAAAGCGAAGTAAAGAACATGTTAAAAATACATCGGACCGTGTTTCACTTTTGCTAAAAATATATAATAGGTTATGGGCCCAGCACGCTTCCACTGCGAAGTAAAAAGCACGTGCACATAAAAAGTAGATTTAATACGTGTATAAAAATGTCGGGAACGGTGATTCGAGTTGAACCGCTTAACGCGGAAAACTACGATACATGGAAATTACAAATGAAAGCTATTCTCATAAAAAACGATTTATGGTCATATGTCGAAGGTACTGCGTCGTGTCCAACGGGCGAAGCGGCTGCAAAATGGATCAGCTTTGATCAGAAAGCGTGTGCTGATATAATGTTATCAGTAAGTGCATCAGAATTAAGATTAATTGCAGAATGCACAAATTCAAACGAAATGTGGATGAAACTACAAGCCACATATTCATCAAAAGGGCCTGCGCGCAAGGCGACGTTGCTGAAAAAGGTTGCACTTTCGCGCATGAAGGAGGGTGAAAAGGTTAGAGAGCACCTCAACGATTTTTTTGAAGCCGTGGCAAAATTAAAGGAAATTGACGTCACCATCGGGGATGAGCTTCTGGCCATACTGCTCCTATATAGCCTACCCGACTCTTTTAATACTTTCAGGTGCGCGTTAGAAACGCGCGACGAGCTGCCAAAGCCAGACATACTTCGAGTGAAAATATTAGAAGAAGCTGAATCGCAAAGGACAAAAGAAGACAGACATAGTGATGAAAACTCTCTATACATAAATCGAAATAAAAGCCGAAACGCAAAACAAAACAAACGATACAGTGATTCTAAACGAAACAAACAATGTTTTAATTGTGGCAAAATCGGACATTTTGCACGTGAATGTAAAAATAAAGCAAAAGCTGAAAATAACACGCAATTGAAAAATTCGGAAAAATCTGTAAACAATAATTTTAGCTATCATGTTGAAGATGCATTTATTAGCT